GTTCAGTGTAGCAAAGCTTGGAACTTATTGCCAGTATTTCTGAAGTATAGTTTTTATTAAGAGGAATTAATCCAAACACATCCATTGAGTGATGAGAATGGTAATGATTATCAAATAATTGGAAATGTATCAAGTTGGCTTTTTAAAAAATTCTTTTTGAGCCAAGTGTGGTGGTGCAGACCTTTGATCCCTTGGGAGGCAGAGGCAGGTGGATCTTTGTGAGTTTGAGGCCAGCCTGGTTTACATAGTGAGTTCCAGGACAGCTGGGGCTACAAGGCAACCCTGTCTCAAAAAAAGACAAAAAAAAAATTATTTTTGATTATTTTTGTTTTATGTGCTATATGTGTGTTGCTTGCATGTATATAAGTGCACCCAAGTGTGCAATGTCCATGGTCGCCAAAGAAGGCCTCAGATACCCTGGAATTGGAGTGAACAGATGATTGTTAGCTGCCATGTGGCTGTTGGGAATCAAACCCAGGTCTTCTGCAATAGTAGCCAGTGCTATTAACCACTGAGCCATCTCTCCAGCCCCTCAAATTTTGTTTTTAAAAAGCCTTCTGCGAGGCTGGAGAGATGGCTCAGTGGTTAAGAGCACTGACTGCTCTTGCAGAGGACCTGGGTTTGAGTCCCAGAACCCACATGGTGGCTACGAACCATCCTTAACGCCAGTTCCAAGGGAATCCAAAGCCCTCTTCTGACCTCCACGGCATTGCACAATATGGGTGCACTCACATACATGCAGGCAATACACTCATACACATAAAATAAAAATAATAAATATTTTTTCAAAAAAAGCTGCTGGGCATGGTGGTGCACGCCTTTAATCCCAGCACTCGGGAGGCAGAGGCAGGCAGATGTCTGTGAGTTCAAGGCCAGCCTGGTCTACATAGTGAGTTCCAGGACAGCTGGGGCTACAGGGAGACTCTGTCTCAAAAAGACCAAAGGTGGGGAAAAAAAAAAGCCTTCTGCTGGGTATCAGGAGAATCACTAGAATAGTAAGCCAGTAAATACAGGATTTTTGTGTTATGCGCATAGTTTAGGAACTGGCATCCAGTAAGCCACAATTAAAAGACTAAAGAGAATCCTATGAAGCAATACCATTAGGTATGGAAAATCATCTGTTATTCTGACAGTCTTTTATTTTCTTTTTCTGAGTTAGGTCTCACTTTGTTTTCCATGCTGGACTCTTAACTCCTAGAGTCAAATAAATGATCCTCCTGCCTCAGCCTAACCAGTAGCTAAGACTACAGGTATGTACTACTATACCTCACTAGCTATGTATTTTAATCTACCTTGTCCACTTCCAAAACAGAAAATGAAGCAGGTTAGAATAAAAGAATTAAATCATGGGGCTTGGGGGATGACTCAGTTGGTAAAGTGCTTGCTGCATAAGCATGAAGACCTGGGTTCAGAACCCTAGAACCCATAAAAAGCCAGGCACATGTCTGTAATCCTAGCACTCAGGAAGCAGAGACAGGAGAGTCATGGAAGCTTGCTGGCCAGTTAGTATTGCCCAATCAGTAAGCTTTAAGTTCAGAAGGAGACTGTCTAAAAAAAAATAAGGTAGAGGAGCTAGAGAGATGGCTCAGCAGTTAAAAGCACTGGCTGTTCTTACAGAGGACTCAGGTTCAGTTCCTAGCACCCACATGGCAGTTAACAACTGTCTGTAACTCCAGTTTCAGGGGATATGACACTTTTTTCTGACCTCATCAGGCATTGCATGCATATGGTACATTTACACACATGCAGGAAAAACATTCATATACATAAAATTTTAAATTTTTTAAAGGTGGAAGAAAATGATAGAGGAAGATATCTGACATCAACCTCTGGTCTCCCATGAGCACATGGTTTGTCAGGTTTGCCCAGCAAGCACTGAGCCATTCTGCTGGCCTGACACCTTACTTTTTGAAACAGAGTCTCTTACTGAAACTAGAGCTTGCCACTCCAGTTAGTCTCATTGGCTGACCATTAAGCCCTCCGAATCCCTAATCCTTGCACCAAGTGCTGGAGTTACAACTGTGCACTACCACATCTAGACTTTATGTGGATGCTGGAGACATGAACTAAGGTCCTCAGGTTTGTACAGCAAACACTTTACCCACTGAATCATCTCCCTACCCCTAAAAATACATTTTCATGCAAATTTATCATTAAAAAAATTCTAACTGGGTGTGGTGGTGCACACTTTTAATCCCAGCACTTGGGAGGCAGAGGCAGGCAGGATCTTTTTGAGTTCGAAGCCAGCCTGGTCTACATAGTTAGTTCCAGGACAGATGGGGCTACAGGGAGACCCTGTCTCAAATTATTATTATTATTACTACTACTACTACTACTACTACTACTAATAATAATAATAATAATAATAATAATACTTTCTATTTTTTGTCTTTTTTTCGGAGCTGAGGACCACACTCAGGGCCTTGTGCTTGCTAAGCAAGCACTCTACCACTGAGCTAAATCCCCAACCCCTCAGAAGCTAGAAGAGGACATCAGATTACTTCAAGCTGGAATTACAGGTGTTTGTGAGCCTCTTGAAATGGATGCTGGTATGCGAACTCTGATCCTCATGATTAAGCAGCAAGTGCTCTTAACCACTAAGCCACCTCTCCAGCTTCTCTATGTAAATTTTACAGAGTTATAAACACTGCCAGAGAAGTTAGAAAATATATAACTCAATTTTATAATGACAAGATTTCTTATTTTGGCACATTTAAACAAGTATCTATTTAATTATGTTGACATTATTTCCTTAGCAATTCCTACAATACTAGACATTCGGTTTTTTTTTGGTTTTCAACTTGTAGAAACAGTACTACCATTAAGGGTTAGAGGTATAGGTCAGTAGTATAGCACCTACCTAGCACGTACAAGATCCTGGGTTCTACCCTCAGCACTACAGACACACATGTGAAAATCTTCATTAATACTGTCTTCTTTTAGACAATTTCATCTCTTGTTTATCATTCACAATATGTTCTAGTCAGTGGCTTTCTAGTGTGCCCTATACTTCCTATACAAATCTTACACAGCATACACTCTGCATTGAGTGCTAGAGTATCTACTTACTGCTTTTACATCTTTTGTTTAAAAAAAAAAACTATCATTGAATGAGATGTAGAGGGGAAAAAGCATAGAGAAGATATAACTGACCTATAGTCTCACCATTCACAGATAACGCTACTAAAACTGAGGCACATATCTATGTATCCATATTAAAATTTGAAACTGAGGGCTCAGAATATAGGTCAGTGGTAGAGCACTTGCTTAGCATACACAACCAAAAATTGATTCATTAAGGAATGTCAAACTTACCATCTTCATATTGTTTTTTCCGAGCAGTATTTTTATCGAGTGACCCATCTTGAAAGCCTTTTCCAATCTCTGACCAAACCTAAATATGGGAAAAACATATATGTATTATGTAGTATACAGATTTTCTAAATAATTCTGAGAAATTTAAGCTGTTAAATGAAAAACTCTTGGGGGCTGGAGAGATGGCTCAGTGGTTAAGAACACTGGTTGTTCTTGCAGAAGACCCAGGTTCGAATCCCAATACCCACATGGCAGTTAACAACTGTCCATAACTCCAGTTCCAGGGGATCTGACAGTCTCTTCTGTCCTCCACGGGCACTGCACGACACGGGTGCACTCACATACATGCAGGCAATACACGAATACACATAGAATAAAAATAATAAAATTTTTTTTTTTTAAATGAAGAACTCTTGCCTTACCAACAAATCTGATCATTGAGGCTCTTTCTTTTAAATTGACTGCACAATCATTTTCTCCATAGTTTGAGAACAGGATTCAAATATTTTTTTAAATGATTTCAGTCGTTACTTTCAAATTAATTTTAACTAACATAGGAAAAGTTTCTTTTGTTTTTGTTTTGTTTTTTATTTAAAATATATTAATTAGCATTGCTTTCTTTAAGAAGTAACACAGTTACACTGAAAGACTTGGTATAGGCTGCAGAATTTGAAAAGGAAGTGAATGGCAAACTCAAATTATAGGAACAGTGACAAACGTCACATTGTTGTTGACGCTTTTTAGTAGAGTTATGTCAGTAAACAATATTCATAAATTATAGTAGACACGGAATTTCAAATTTATATTCTAAGATATAATTACCTGCTTTAGCTTGAGCATTATATCAATTTAGTTATTACAATAATTTTTGTTTTCTTTTTTTTTTTTTTTTTTAACTTTCCAGACTGTGTGTGATTTTTATCTCTAGATGTTCAATTGGGGCATAGATGAAGGCATACTGGGGCTATAGAAGAGTAACAGAAAAATAATGGAAAACCTCTTGATGCCTAGTAATGGGAGATGTCCAACATCAAGGCCCGGATGCCCAGGGCCAAGTTTGGAGTGAGGACCACAGCTGGGCCCCAGGGAGGTGGGAGGTCTATTCCAGAGAATCAGTTCTCCTAAGACCAGAATTTACAAAGAACAGAGGCCTCCCCTATCTCCAGCGTAAGAGGCAAAGCCTCTGCCATGCACAACCTGGGACCTCAGGGGAGGGGCAGAAACTGATGGCCAACATTAGGAACTCCTCCATGCTCTACTCTGCCCCACCATCAGCCTATCAGAGGAATGTAAAACCTTGGATCACAGTACTGGTTCAAAGCTTCAGGGTCATGTGAAGGGAACACAGTTCAAGATTACAGGAGAGGACTACAACTCTGGCTCATGGGGAGGGGGGCTCTGCTCCAACTCCCAGATAGAACGACAGCTCTAGTTCACGCATATAAACATAACACACACACACACATACACAAATCTTCTTGAGAGGCAAAGTCAGCATTTATCTACCAAATCTGATGAAAGAATCATTTTTAATTTGGCCTTAGACTTACCGTGCCATGAATCTTTTGGAAGCGAATGAGTTCCTGTTCATCATCAAATGTACCACCCAGTACCATCTGTGTAACAAACTTCATAGCAAAACCAAGTATATGTTGGCTGAGGGGTACATGCTGGGTCTCTGGGTAGGAAAGCCATTTATCTAATACTTCTTCTGAGAGCTGAAAGAGAACAGAAACCCACAATGTTTTATTATTTTCTCCCTCTAAGTCTTAAGATAATTTCAGTACGATGACACATGCTATATATACAGTTGAACTGTGTAACCAATTACACATTCAGGTATTTCAGGCTCTGGCTCAACCTATGACTGTATCTTCAATGGTTAGGCTTAGCTTCTGTTAAAGAACTGATTTAGGGGCTGGAGAGATGGCTCAGCGGTTAAGAGCACTGACTGCTCTTACAGAGAACCCAGGTTAGAGTCCCAGCATCCACACTGTGGCTACGAATCATCCTTAACTCCAGTTCCAGGGGATTTCGAAGCCCTCTTCTGACCTCCAAGGTATTGCACAATATGGGTGCACTCACATACCTGCAGGCAATACATTCGTACACTTAAAAAAAAAAAAATAAAGAAAATGTCGACTTAAAAAAAAAAAAAAAAGAAATGATTTATAAAACAAGAGAGAACCACCACACCAAAAACAGAAAATGTAAGCTAAAAATGCAAAGGCACAAAAAATCTTAAACTAAAGGAACTTAGATAGATCTTTGTAAAAAAATATTTTAAAATATTTATGTGTATTGCCTCCATGTATGTAAGTGCACCCATATCATGCAGTGCCCGCAGAGTCAGAAGAGGGTGTTGGAGCCTCTGGAACTGGAGTTATAGATGGTTGTTAGCCACCATATAGGTGCTGGGAACTGAAACCAGGTCCTCTGCAAGAGCAGCAGTGCTCTTAACCACCAAGTCAACTCTCCAGACCCTAGACCAAAATCTTAATACATGATTTCAAATAGCAGAGGTTCATCAGAGTGCCTGTAACTTATTCAAAAACATAAATATATAAAAGTGCCAGACATGTTTTTGTAAGGGGAACCTTTCAGATTCTCTGTCATTCTTTCATTTAGCAAATGCTCATCAAATCCCTTGTGGAATAAAAACAGTATGTAATAAAAGATCACAAGCTTTAGAGTCAGAAATAACTTGATTTTACTTCTGGTTGTGTTTCTGAGAAGTAATGGCATTTCAGGCAACTTGTTTAACCTAAAGTCTGGAAGCCGCCACAGGAAAGTTCACCTTGTTTGGTTATTGTGATAGAGATAATTAAACCCATGTCACATAAAACACTAAAGGCTTTCTGAACTAACACATGTAAAGTCCTTAATATTGTAGAAACTAAGGCTAAACCGCCTTTTTTATGTCACCTCTATAAAAGTTTCGTCACAGTAAAAAAAATTAAAATTGAATTTTCTGAGAGAATAAATATTCAAAATGAAGAGATTTAGCATTTCATAGGCATATACTTACTGAAGGTGAACTATTTAGAATATAAAATGTATCTTTGGGGAAAGAAAAGGGAATCCTTAACAATTCCAAAATATCAAGATTAAGCAATTTGAGGCAGTAAACTTATCTTAAAAGAACTTTGAGTTTGGGTGAAGTAAGGACAAAGCAGGAAAATAGCAATTAAAATACAATGGCGTAAGTACATAACTTCACAATTACTTTCAGGCTGGAGGTGCAGCTAGATGATAGAACACATGCCTGCCACACACCAGGTCCTAGATTCAATCCCCAGCACCACGCAACAAACAAATACAACAAAAACATTACTCTCACACTACCAATAAAATAAGTCCACATATTAGCTCTCTTTACCTATAGATTCAGTTGCTCTGGACATATTAAGTAGAAAATCCTAGAAATAATTTCTAAGTTTTACACTGTGTGCTGTTCTGAGTAGTGTGATGAAATCTCATGTAGTCCTGCTCTGTCCACAGTCCTCTTCTGCCTACCCAGGATGTGACTCTGACAAGAACTCCTTTGTCTTCTGCATGCAGCAGTATGGAGCTATGTCTGACCCAAGCCCCCTTGTGGATGAGAAGTAAAGGGAAAAAACAAAGCTTATGTAGGGCTTGGTACCATGTGGGTTTTGAAGAATTCACTAGAGTCCGGAATGCATGCTTCTAAGAGCCAGAAAAAGGGCCTGGACAAGTGTTAAAGGCGGCTCCAGCACAAAGCCAATCTACAAACTCCGGAGTGATTTTTTTTTTTTTTTTGCTCTTTCCTTTTTCTCCTTTTCTCTTCTGTTTGGCTTCGAGCACTACAGGTAATCTGCCAAAACCCTAGCTGAGCACTAACCTAAAGAGGCAGATACTTCTGCAGCCACACATGACAAACAGTACAGACTCTACAGTTTAGTAAAGACACTAAATAAGCAACTAACGCAATCACAGTCAAGAAAGTGGAAAATCTGATTTCAAGAGCTACCACATTTGTAATATTTAATGTGTGTAGTTTTAAATTTTAAAAAATGAGGCATAGAAAGAAGAAATCATGGTAGTTCTCAGGCAAGCACAGAGTTCAAAAAAAGGTCTGAAAATATAAAAATGACAAGGGACATGTAGTGTACTTTAGAACTATAGTTCTTTAAGAATTCTTAAAACTGAGTAATAAAAACCCAGTAAAATATGGGAAAAAGATCTGACATCCACTAAAAATATATATATGAATGGCAAATAAGCACATGAAAAGATGTTTGGTCACATTAATTATTAGGGAAATACAAATTAAAAACACAGACATACCACAGTGACACAATGGAATGACTCAAGATGGACCAAAGCTAGCCACTGCGGATGTGAAGCAATGCAAATCTCAGACTCCCAGTGGAATGTAAAATGGAATCACACTGAAAAATAGCTTGGCAGTTTCTTCAAAAGTTAAACATGGGGCTGGAGAGAGAGTTCAGAGTTTCAGAGCACTGGCTGTTCTTCCAGAGGACCCAGGCTTGGTTCTCAGCAACCACATTAGTAGCTAACAACCATCCTAGAACCAGTTCCAGGGGATCCAGCACACTTTTCTGACCTTCACAGGCACTGCAGGACATGGTGCACTTACATACATGCAGGCAAAACACTAATTAATACACATAAAATAAAAAAATAAGTAAATCAAAAAAAAATTTTTATGGGGTTTCTGGCTACTCAAATGTTCCCCCATCTGAAGAGGTAACCCTAAAATATTTTAAAGATTAGATAAAAGCTCCCAAATACTTTCAACATTTTTGGCCTTTGGAATGGAGTATGTTGCTAAGAGGCCTAAGGACATTGTGAGTTTTAGCCAAGAAACTGGCTACTTTACTTTGGGGTCTTTTTACCCTAACTACCTAACCAATTCCTACTTCCTATTCTTATCACACCATCCTCTGAAGAGGTTACTCAGCTCAAAAACATTTTTAAAGTTAAACACATCTATTATATGACCCAACCAAACCACTCCTATGTATTTGTCTGCCCATCAAATAAAATATACACACACAAGGATTTATTCATGAATGTTCACTGCAGTCCATTTGTGATGACCAACTATAAATAATCAAAATTCATGACAGCAAATAAATAAATAAACCATGGTAAATCCATATAATAAAACAGTAAGCAATAAAAGGAGGGAATTACTGATATATACAAGAATGTGGATAAACATCAAAATAATTATGCCCAGTAAGACCATTCAGGCAAAAAAGGATTGCATACTGTATGACTTTACACACACAAAATTCTAGAAAATGTAAACTAAGCTCTAGTGATAGAAACCAGACCACTTGGGAAAATGATGTGAGCCCACGAGCAAAGGGTTGGAACATAAAAGAGCTTGAAGAAACTCTAGGGGCTGATGGAGGACTAGTGATAAAATCCTCAGTGTGGTAGTCAAAACTTAAATTGCACACTTTAATAATGTACAGTTTATTGTATACCAACTATATCCCAAATAAAACTATTTAAAAAGCAAAAGTAGGGAGGGAATCATGCTCTCCTGTACAAAGTCTTTCAAAACATAAACAAGGAAAGCCTTCCTCTTTATTTCATGAGCCTAGAATAACCTTAATACCAAAATCTGACTGAAGTATTATAAAGAAAATTATATGCCAAGTTCCCTTGTGAACACGGATGTCAAAATTTTTAACAAAACATAGGCAAATTAAATCTGGCTGTACATAAAATAGTACATCACTATCAAAATCAGCAAAGATCAAGGCGGGGGGGGCGTGAAACAGAGAGAAATGGAAGCATTAATATTAGCTGAAACTAGAAAGCAAAGGCCAGGAATGTGGTTGAATGGTAGAGCACGTGCCCTGGGAGGAAAAAAAAAAAAAAAGGAAAGAAATAAGTAAAATAAATAACATGAGGAAAATGGTTAAAGGCTCTTAGAAAACAATAAAATTGAAAGATCTTGTACCAGTTATCTACTTAGGGTTTCCTGAGCTATAAATTCACTCTTTGTTTTGTCTGCTTTGTAAAAACAGGCCTGCATCTGCTAAATATTTTTCTTCTGCTCTGTGGTATGATGCTAAGCTTTCCTAGCAGACGGTACTTGAGAGACATTTGTAGAAAGAAATTATGCTACCAGGTTGCCCTGCACCTGCTCAGCATGCTTCTGTAATGCCTTCAGCTTTCCAGGGCCAGCCTCCCGCAGTGCCACTTCATCAGCTCTGAGCAAGAGCCTAGAGCTGGCAGCACCTCCTGCAGTGACTCAAGCTCCCTTCCCTTGGCTGTCACAGGCTACTTCAGCCAGCACCATCAGTACATGGCTAACAGCCATCCACTTGGAAAGCTGTGCTTCCTGGGGAAGACATCTCTCTATGAACAGGTCCCCCACCACCCTTGAGTGCAGCACACTAATAGGTGATTTTCAGTAAGGGGCAGAAGAAGAGCCATTTGTGTGGTACCACAGAAACTTCCTTGCCATTCACAGCTATCACCCCATTCGACAGGGACAGGATGTCATCCTGGGGAGAAGCTCTCCTAGAGCCCTCTCACATCCCTGGCATCTGTATCTGCTCCTCGATGTGCCAGTTTTACATTTTTCAGAGTTCTCTTTATTCTAATCAGGTACTCTCTTATTACTCCAATCCCATTATAATTGTTATAATAAACTTTCTCTATTTAATTAATCATGAGCTTCCACTATCCTGATTGGACTCACTGACAAAGA